GACAACTTAAAAACGTAATAATTTTAATGCGCGCGGAATGTTTGATTTTAATAATAAATCGTGTGCCAGATTATTTTCAATTTATCTGCATATTCTGCTAACTAAAATGAGAGATTTCCAGTTACTTTACTAGCAAAGAAAATCACCCATTCTCAAGTTACCATTCATATCAGTTATACTATAATTTAAAAAAAATCTGCATTGTAACCTGAAATTTAACCTGCTGTCAAAGGCAATCGAGTTGGAAATTGCAAATTGTAGAAATTCCCTTTTTATCAAATTCCAATTACAAAAGCGCGGCAAACGTGAAGAAATTCGTCACACGATTTATTAATGTTGATTAGCGCAAAGCATATCGGAATTATTGAAATTATCTTTAGTTTATACTTTAGACTATTTTATAGTTAGATGTTTCTTCAGGCTGTCTATGAAATTGTAAATAATCCTATAATTCAGAAGAAACAACCCAATTGGCTGTTGACCCGGGACGAAATGTTTCACATCGGTGATAACGATGGATATATTACAAGGAAACACAGAAGTTTCTCAATCAAATAAATAAAAATTTGGAAATAGTACTCTGGATGGAATGATCATCTAACTTGGTGAAAACCTTGGCAACTTTACCTTTGACCTTCCTTAACAGTTATTTAATATCAGTTAGGTACTTAGTATTTTAAAATCATACCTGTTTTCTTAGGGTGGAGGCATTTACTAACTCTCCATTATGAGCCACAGCTAATGACCCATGCATGGAATGCACAACGAAAGGTTGGGCATTTATTGCAGTTGATTTGGCACTAGTAGAGTACCTATGAAACACATTTACTAATTAGATGTCATATAGGTATTTGTTTTTTATTAAACTCTTTTAATTTTTTTATTACATTTAGTAGACTTATTCCAGACATTCTCACCTAGTATGTCCAATTCCCATTACACCAGTGAGTTGAGAAATGCTTTCATTAGTAAAAACATTTTTCACAAGTCCCATGCCCTTCTGTACATTAAATTCGTTATGGCCCTCACTAGTTACGATTCCAGTTGATTCTTGGCCTCTGCAGAAAAGACATCATGTTTGAAATAAAATTGCCAATAAATTAAACAAGAATAACATGTAAAATTTAATTTTTTTATGGAATAGTTTTTAATAGGGAATTTTAAATTATATACCAAAATAAAATGATAATCGATACCTACAGGGTGGAAACTCGGAAACGGTAAGATACAGGCTCGGTTAAAATAAGATAAAGCTGAGAATTTGTGCTGAAAAATGCCGTTCTGAATTTTTAAATTTGATAAATATTTAAATGTGTAAAGTAATATAAATGTTACAATATTAAAACCCGTGTTTACCCATCAAGAAAAACGATAATTATCTATTTAAATACATACATATGTACAGGGTGTTTTCTCATAAGTTGACACTCCCCTAGATCGTTTATTTCAAATAAATTGTGAAAGTGACCAACCCGAAAGTTGTTTAATTTTATACAAATTTTTAAATCTGAATTTAAAATGAAAATGTAAAACAAAGAAATGCTAAAATTTGACATAGGTAGTATTTTTTTAATGAAACACCCTATATATTTTTGCACAGGTGGATTGCATTTTTTTCTGATTTCAGAAATATATACATATATTGCCTAGATTTGTCTTAGCCGTTTTTCCTGTATTAAGTTTTAAAAATTTTAAATTGTAACAAATTAAAGTAGCCTGACATGAAACAAAAAACTAGAACGAGAACATAATGCAATTTGTTGCTACGATACATTTCAAAACAAGTAAATAAATAAATGCAAAGTCATTAAAATCACTAATTTTGTATATGACCTCCGTTTAACGCTTAGACATGCTCTATATTCTACTTCAATTTTATCTATAACGTTTTGAATATATTGGTTATGATTAATATTAATATCGTTAATTGCATCCACTATTTTAATGCGTCTAACTAGCTTCTCAAACACAATATTCTTTAAATAACCCCAGAGAAAAGAGTCAAGAAGCGTTAGGTTGGGGCTATTTGGAGGCCATTGGATAGAAAGAACCCGCTCGTCCAATACAGATATCAACATTTTCATTTAAAAAATGGGGTTGTAGGGCGCTTTGTCAAATTTCAAGGCTACTTTGATTTGTTGCTATTTATAAAATAAAATAAAAATTTTTAAAACGTAATATAGGAAAAACGATTAATACAAATATAGAAAAAACATATATTTTTGAAATCAGGAAAAAAAATCATATTGTCCTATATCTCCTATGTCTAAAAACACATAGGGTATTTCATTAAAAAAAAACTGTCAAATTTTGACATTTCCGTGTTCCATATTTTTATTTTAAATTCAGATTTTAAAAAATTGAGTGAAAGTAAACAACTTTCGTGTCACTTTCACAATTTATTTGAAATAAACGATCTAGGGGCGGGGTGTCAACTTATCGAGGAAACACCCTGTACATATGTATATATTTAAATAGATAATTATCGTTTTTCTTGGTGGGTAAACACGGGTTTTAATATTGTAACATTTATATTACTTTACACATTTAAATATTTATCAAATTTAAAAATATATATAGAGGTAGTTGATAATAATATATGGAAAACGAATCGTACCATTCTAGATTTAATGTAATTTTATACCAGAACAGAAGTAGGTAGGTTGATCCCTGATAAATTGATATTTGCCCCCTTTTTCCTTTTTTCCTACTTCAGAAGACGATTTCAAACTTCAAAGCTACAATTTATTGTGCACAATATTTTCCAATATAACATTTTTCTGACAGTTTCCCAGATCGCAATGGTGAGGCTCAAGTTTCAACCACCCTCTGTTGTAGCAGCCGCCTATTTTAAATTATTCCTCACGAAAAAACAAATACCTGCATATGTTGCATTAAACTTTTGGTACCACGTGCGACAATTTTAAAACCGTACTCTCAAAGCTGTATACAGAGTATCATTAATGTTACCGCATATACAGGGTGACTCAAACTTCAGTCACATAAATTTGCCCTTTCTTAAGGACCCCTGATCTACGATTAACGTATTTTTTCAGTTTTATAGAAAGATAAATAATTCAACTTTTGTACACAATTAATTTATAACTCTTGCTGAGTCTTATAACTCTTGCTTCAGTCTCGTATTTTAGTTCCCCCCTAGTTTTTTGAGTCAGTGGAGTAGATTTTAGGATTGAGTGCTTAGCAAATTAGCGTTCCAAAAAAACGTTCTTTCAAACTTTTGCCACCCCTAATTCTACAATTTTTTAAAGCTTTTTTTATTGCTTTTTTTCACTCACACCATGATACGAGCACAATTAATACTTGTAATACGTTGAATTCATTGGCTATGGAAGCTAAGGAAGTGGTAATAGTACTAGAGTTGAGCAAGAAATCACTACCTGTGAATTTTCCATAGCGATTAATGAATATCAATCACAAACTGTAACGAACGTAAAAATAAATGTGATAGTGATCTAAAACGTGATGGACCCAAACGTGATATTAAAGAGCGACTTGCATTCACGGGTTCCCTTGAACCTGGATTTAATTGATATTTTTGGGAATCGTATTTCAGTATGCACCATTCATTAGCTGTATTCTGATTGTGTATCGGTACCCTGTTTGTGTATTTTAAAAATAATTTTGTGGGGATACAATTTGTGTTTGTTTTGATCATTTTTCGAATTGAAATTGTTTATTATGTATTGTACTAAGCTATTTTTTGTGGAATTTCTTTTCTGCATTAGATGATAATTTTGCAAACTGCAATTTATGGAAAGCAAAATTATCTTACAAAACAAGTACCTCGAATTTGAAACGGCACATGGAATGCAACATCCCACAATATCAAGAAATTCTGAAAATTTTCGCGAAGAGAAACCAAGGAATATTTTTGGACCTTTTTTCACTGAAATAAAGCTTTTTTCAGATCAAAATAGCTTGTTCACAAAGAATTAAGAGCTACATACGCTATTCGTTATGTGTAAAACAATAGTTTTTTATTCCTATTTTAATTTTTTTCTAGAATGTTTTTAGAACTTTTAGGTATGTACATGGATTTACAAAATGTGTAGCCAGTTGCTAGTTGCAGAGGCTGTTATATATAAGTTATATCGAGAAAACGAAAACCCCAAGTGAAATCACATTCACAGGTAAAWTTTACAGTTAAAAAAATCGCATTCAGTTATTTTAAAATCAAGTTATAGGATAGTACTAATTTTAGAARTAATTAAAAGTCTCGAATTAACTATCGAAAAAGTTTAGAAGTAGTTAAAAATCTTGAATTAACTATCGAAAAAGTTTAAAAGGAGTTAAAAGTATCGGATTAATTATCGAGCAATTTTAGAAGTAGTTAAAAATCTCGAATTAACYATCGAAAAATTTTAGAAGTAGTTAAAAATCTKGAWTTAACTRTCGAAAAAGTTTAAAAGTAGTTAAAAGTATCGGATTAATTATCGAGAAATTTTAGAAGTAGTTAAAARTCTCGAATTAACTATCGAAAAATTTTAGAAGTAGTTAAAAATCTCGAATTAACTATCGAAAAATTTTAAAAGTAGTTATGTCTCGAATTAACTATCGAAAAATTTTAAAAGTAGTTATGTCTCGAATTAACTATCGAAAAATTCTAGAAGTCTGGATTTAACTGTCGAAAAATCTTAGAAGTAGTTAAAAGTCTCGAATTAACTATCAAAAAATTTTAGTAGTTAAAAATTTCGAATTAACTATCGAAAAATTTTAGAAGGGTAATGCTTTACGGTACGATCTGCTGTGGCACGMGCACATGCCTGCACACAGGGTACGCGCAGCCAAAAATTGCATACTGGTCAGGCCATGTTGCCGAACKGCTCAAAGTAGAAAATTTCAATGAAAACAAAAAAGTAATTCATTCAAGGTTGAAAACTTAGCAGAATTACGTCCTTACAGGAAATAGTAGACGAAACTGAT